TAAATAAAAAAAAAAAAAAAAAAAAAAAAAAAAAAAAAAAAAAAGAGAATCAAATAGGCATCTTAAGCTCTGTTGAATCGGCCTACCTTCCTGCCTATGGCGAGTCTTGTCAACTTGGGAAGAAGTTTCTTCCAGGCTTTCTTCCCCTTCAAATGTACCAGATACTGCAGCAGTGTGTGGGCTATCAATACTGCAATGTCCTCTGGCGTCGGACGTCACCAGTTGTTCATCAATAAGTTCACCAAGTTTCCGAAATAAAGCAAAATCACCCCCCTGCTCACTTTTCTTTATCATTAACCCCATTGTGGTCGTATAGAGATAATAAAAATGCAAAAAGACAGAGATAAACCTGCCAAAAGGAATAGCAACCATCAACCAATTTATTGGTTCTCCCTTGAAATCCACCCTCCCTTCCTTGTCGAAATACCAGCCAATCCTTGCAACACAGCAAACATAGTTTGAAACGGATCAGAAATATGATCTTGATGATATTTGCAACAGATTAACTCCTAGAATGAAAGGGCTACTACATCTCTTACAATTAAACGGGTCAGGTCCAGACGTTCAACCTCATTGATCAGAATCATTGTAGCCAAGCCACAAAAGGTGTACCTGGACAACAAATTTCCAAGTTTATGACTGCGTTTCCAAGTGATGTATTTTAAGACCGGTTAGTATTTGAACTTCTTATTTCCCTTTAAGTGAACTTACGATTTATCACTAGGAGTTGTTCGTAATACATCAAACCTTATAGATCCTATGAAGTAAAATATATGGCAAAATAGCAAAAGTTAAGAAGTGAGTTAAAACATACCCACCGTGAGCTTCTGATCCGGGTTCTCCAGCAATTCCACCTTCAAAAGTCTGACAACTGCAGATTGCATGGTGCAAATTTAAATTACTCTTTTTCATAGAAAAAAAATGGGCATGTCTCAAAATTACTTATAATAATATGAAATGATGAGAAATTATGTGCAGGTAATTAATATATAAAATCCATATTATAATATGAAAGCACAAATTACAATCAATGTCACTAAATGCATCCATATAGGTACATTACAAAACAGAATATGAATGAGAATATTGAAATAAATATGCACGACATTAACAGTTTCTTGAGCAGGTGACGAATAGCTCACGCAAACATGAAGATAAACAAAATCTAAAAAATTTACACCCAAGAAAGATTAACAATTATAAGCAGGTCTTGGAGCCAATTAATATCGAAGAAGAACTGAGACCAACCTTAAGATGTAATTTCCAACATCCTGAACTAATTCATCATCCAAAATGTTCAGAATACTTGCAACCTGATCAGAATGAGAAGATACTTACAATGACAAAGCATTTGATGACTATTGTAAGATAAAACGGTTATGAATAGAATCATAATTTGTATGGATTTAAACAACATGTATGTAAGCAGTGCACTCAATGTGCTGCTCTTTTGTTTGATGCACGTTCAAGTTAGAACATTCGATTTTATTAATTGAGAGTGAAAACACTTCACACACAATTACATGTGCAGAGACTTACCGAAATGGCAGTATAGCAGGCACGAACGTCAATTTCTCCGCCATCATGCATCCTGAAGAGCATCCAAGTGATAATAAAGTTACCATTCCACATGTACAAAGGCCCGGGTAAAAAAAAAAATGCACTCGGTATTTTGCATCTCAGAAGAACCTAGATTGAGGGTATAGACCATTCATAGACTCCAAAAACTGAAAGAGAGAGAAGCTTGAGGGGAGAAAAAAAAGAAACAAACAAACAAACAAACACAGTTCCAATCACATCTTTTAACGACTAGTAATAATACATTTTGCATGCATATTTTGGAGTCTCATAGTCAGTTTCTAATTTCAAAATACATAAATATGCAATCAGCTGTGATGCCATACCTGAAGCCCCCACTTGGGTGTTTCATTCGCTGCAGAAACGTGTACAGTTTATCTCTGAAAAACATTTAGACAAATTGAGCATAACTTTCCAAAAAGCTAATTCTTGAGGACAAAACGTTGTCACAAATAGCAGCATAAACTGGCCACCTATTAATTGAAGACAAAGCTTCATGACCACCCACAGTAATAAGTGAATTGACAGTAGCATAGGTTGTTGCAAGATGTGGCATCTGAGCAAAAAAGCAACTATATTACTGATTGTAATTTTTAAAAGAAAAATAATAATAATAATAACTGCCACACTACCATCCTCAAACACCCCTACAGAAAAAGTTATGCGACTTGATTCTCAACAACTCTAAAAGTGCCAGAAAGAGGAAAGATAGTGTCAATATGTTAACTAAGTAGACGTTGTTACCCGTATGAACCAAACGGGCCAATAATTTACTAGGTGGTATACCAAACGTTTAAATCATTTTGTTTTCTCCTCATAGTGAATCGGGGTAGGGAAAAGAAGATTATGGAGCTTTGAGTTTGGAACAATGAACATTAGCAGTTATGAGTTATAAAATGCACAACAGAATATTATCTCAAGAATGGTTAAGTAGATCTTCAACCATTTACTTGCCTGCCCAGGTCCACCACCATATCCACCATCCTGGTCCTGCAGGTATAAGAGAAACAGAAAAATTGAAAACTGAAAACAAAAGTACATAAATAAATAAAGAATAATACGGTACAATACATATATGTACAAAATAATCAAAAGAACAATAAATAGTGCCCTTTTGTGAAAGAAGCAAGCAATATCTCCAATGGTGTTGCATACCTGACAACGGCGTAAGAAATCAATCGTGTTGCTTTCCATTTCGGTATCAAGAGACTCCCCTAGTAAAGCAATTGAGTGGATGATCCAATAGCACAGCCAAGGTCGACTAACAAACGACATTGTTCATGAAAACTATCAGGAAATTTTCAAGAAACGACATTTTCAACCCCAATTTCTGCTCAAATTCATAACCAGCAAAAAAAAAGAAAAAGAAAAAAAAATCCACACAGAGACTCTCATGTTAAACAACAAGAACAGAATCGCAAAACAAAATTCTTCCTGGGTCGTTTATACACAAGCAACAGCTTGAAACATTGTAGAAATATATATATACACGTATATATATATATAGATAGATAGATAGATAGAGAGAGAGAGAGAATTACTTGGCATCCAATACGCAAAATGAGGGACCGAGAAATCTGAGACCTCGATCAAGGTACTCCAAATGCCGATCACGACGAAGCTTCAGCCTTTCAGAGGAAGAAAACGACAACAAAATCAGACCCTAAAAAGCTGTCGAAACTATTAAAACCAAAACCCCCAACGAGAAGATAGGTGTGGGTTTTACATCTGGGATTTCACGTCGCGGGGAGCGTTGGCGAAGAAGTTGTAAATCTGAAAGACTTCGTTTTCCACCATCCATTGGTCTCGCTCCGTCACGGTCTGGACCGGCGTCTCCGATTCCATCACGTTTCGCCACCGAGTCACACTGAGTCACCGCCACGCCCACCCGTGTGTTTGTGTGCACTTGATTCGGGGAGAAATAGGCAATAAAAGTTACACGGCTGAATTGCATCCTTGCCCCTAAACTTACTGCATAGTTACAAACTGTCTTAAATAAACAATTATGTAACAAATCAGCCCCCAATTGATTGATTTGTCTATGGGTCATTTGATAGCATAAGAGGATTTTTTTTTAATAAATATTAGCTGAAATTTATATTTTAAAGCAAAGTTAGTTCAAAATTTATATTTAGATAAAAATTAATTAAAGATCCTAACCCAAATAAATCTCGGTTAAAATATATAAAAATGATCATTCAAGTAATTAATTTTTTAAGTTATTTTAGTTATTTTAATAGTTAAAAAATGTGAAATACCTAAAATCTTACTAAGAACGGTTCAAAATCATTAGATAGGAATCCAAATATGAATAGAGAGACAAGAATATCACAACTGTGTAAACAAATAGTTTTAGAGTAAGCATTACACAATTTCCAAGCACTTAGGTGTAAGTCATATATTAATTTTTGTCAAAAAAAATTAACACCATTTTTTCTCAACGGGTGTGCTTGTTGCAGATTTATAAATTCAAGGTGCAAATAGTTAAAAATAAAAGTTTAATGAGAAAGCATAATAAGTTTAGTGGAAACGATGAAAAAAAAAGAAGCCAAAATTACAATATCTTGCATGATTAGTGGAGTGATTTTGTATGGTATAAAACACTTGTAGGAATGTAAACTAAAGCGATTTTGAACATGTTTTTCCAATACCAAGTCCGACCCCCAATTGTGTCTGCACTACTCGATGACGGGATAGGGATTCCTCGGTGAGGTGGGTCTGTTAGTTTAGAGTATGATTTGAGTGTAATTTTTAAGTTGAATTTGAATTATAACTTGAGTTGAAGTTGTAACTTGAGTTTATGTTTGATTGTGTATATTTAAGTTATGGTTTAAGATAATAATTTTTTTGACTATGTGTTTGAGTGAGTCAAAACTTGAATTTATATTTAGATAGTATTTTAATAAAAACTCAATAGTGATGACAAATTTTAATAGGATATATGTTAGGGTTTTATTCGTCTTTTTGTTGTCAACGCATAGAAAAAAAATAATCTCAATCAGAATTAAAACGAAAAAGTTATAGCATTTTTAATAATAGAAAAAAATAATGTTCATTAATTTGAGTTCGAATTTTTAAACTCGAGTTGAAGGGAAAACTTGAACTTGAGTTTTAGTCCCAAACTCGAGTTCAAACTTAAAAAAATATGAACTTAAATAAAGTTGGAACTTTAGTTGCTTTTTTTGAGTTTTTGAGGCTGCCGAACACACCCGTAATGGGGCAGGGATAGTGCCTTGTTACCTGAGTTAAGTAACATATTTTTGAAAATGTAGAGTCCACCAGTCAGATTAGTCTGACAAATATAAAGGTTCATTTAGTATGAAGATTTAAATTATGGTGATTTTAATCATTATTTTAAAATTAAAACCATGAATTATGATTTTGGGTTCAAATCGTAATTTTAAAACAATGATTTAGAATTAGGAGTTTGAATCACCTTGTATCAAGAGGATGTGGTTTTAGAATCATGATTTGAGCTAGTTTAAAACATCACATCATATTTTGAATCATGATTTAGAATCATCCAAACAAAATACTGATTCTGAATCATGATTCAGAATCACTGTAAAAAAATATTAATTCTGAACCAGGATCTAGAATCATGATTCTGGATTCATCTACTAAACGCACCGTGTAACATTTTTTTTTAATACGTATAACACTCGGTTCACTTTAGTGTAACATTTAAAAAATGTAATTCAATACATATAATATTAAATATTACATTTAAACAAATTGAATGTTACAAACATATAAATGATGTTACATAAAAATAAACAAAAAAAATTACATTTACTTGACTGTATAGTCGTCAAACTTAAAACTTAGCTCATATTTTTTAATGAAACAAAAAGATAATTATAATGAAAAAATAACATTAAAAATTCCTACAATATAAAATAATCTATTTTTTCGCAATCAAATTTTTAGAGCAAATAGACAAATTGCGTTCACAGATTAGGTTCAACTTTCTTTCTCACTCGTGACTTGGTCGCTTTAAAGTGGACGTCCATAACATGCACCAATCGTCAAGGGCAATCGCTTAATTCAGTGGATCATATCTCACTAGTGCATAGTGTCTTTCGGTCGTTTGATGCAGAAACAAAGAAATAATGCTGTGGAATTGGTTCTGTTTTTATATTTTACTTTAAAAAAAATAAAAATAAAAACGTTTTTAAAACG